TTTCACCGCATTAAAGCTGCAATAGCATTAAATGTTAATAGATCTTCGAAAATACTCAATGTATAAAAAGTAACTATCCATGTTTTTCTATGAACAAACTGTGCTCTAACTTGATAAATTTTCTTTGCACTTTCAATTTTCTCTCTCATTCATTGCAGCTGTTACATCATGTCATTATCAATATGTACAATAATATGACGTCAGTTTGGAGTAAATAAGGAGTTCAAAGACCCTATATTTGTGTTGAAATGTAGTCATGAAAGAGAAAAGGTCATCCAAGTACGTTCAGACATAACATTAATATCACAGTATATCACAATATACTTTACTAAATAACGAAAATTTAAGAATGCATTAATTACAGCATTTGTTACTGAATAAGGTTCAAGATTTTATGTAGTTTTATGTGTTCGGTTTTAAAAATATTTCCAAAATGTATTATTGGACTGGTTATATAACCATGGAAATGTAATCATCATAAGTTTGTACAGGCATCTGTTGCTTATAGTCATGGCAGTCTGTTTTTAGGCTATTATTTTGTTCATATCGATATCAAATTTTTGTTCTATAGACCGAAATTAAAAAATACATTCCGTTAGAAGGTTTAGCCGTAGTACAGATGTCAAAAAAGCTACTTAACTACAGTACTGTACTATTTTTACTTTGTTATTTGGTACCTCTGGTTTCAGCAAACATTACTTAATTTTATTTTGGACATTTTTTCAGGTGTGTACATCTCTCTGCAGAGGATCTTTGAAACATCTTGCTGTTCTTAACATGTCAAAAACCGTCTTCTCTCACAGGTCAGTCAGACGCTAAACATTCATTACAGAGATATGATGCAATAACATTACAGAGTTTCAAAGCTTGATCCAACTGTTGATCATAAAACAATAAATGTGGAATTTGGATCTATGGTGATCAAGCATATTTGGACTTCAATGATTAATAGCTTATCTAAAAATATTTTCTGTACAGGTGATCATTTTCAGCAGCTATTTGTTAAGATGAAGTTAGAGTTATGTCACCTAAAAACATGGTTCAATATTAATAAATTATCTTAAAACTTGGAAAAAATTAAGTTATTGTTGTTTGAAAACTGCAAAAACAACACAAATTCTCAAATCCTTATTGATGATGTAGCTGTGGAGATAGTTAATGCAGTTTCTTTTTTCTGGAGTGACCATAGATGATAAGATTTGCTGGATAAAAAAAAAAATAACTTCAAATATATCCAGAAGTATTGCGGTTCTCAGAAAAGCCAAATTTCCTAAATATATTGCACACCATATTCTTTACTGTTTGCTTACTGTTGTCTTATTTAAAGGTATAGTGGAGAATTTTCGTGAATTTTT